ATTACAAATCTACCGAAAGTTATATATAATTTTATAGACGCTGTATTTTATCACATTGTTATAATAACACTATTATCTGTTCCGAATTTTTTTGTGTAACCTTTATTTAGCCTTTTTAAGATGGTTATTGAAAGAAATAACAATTGTTCGGATTTGTGAAATTTTTAATTAGCATAATTTTTTTTTTCAAAACCACTGAATTGCCAAGTCAAAGTCAATTAAAAAATGAATCTAAGTAATATAATATAATTATTATTTTATTCGGTACTATCATTGAATTTAAACAATCAATCTTGTTAACAGTTAAATCATAACATATGAATATATATTTATCAACCTATAAAAATCAATCAATTCACTATTTGGTATTTAATATATATATAGTACAAGCTGTACCGACCCGACATTGCTCAGGATTTAGTTTAGCGGGGCTGAGTAAAATAATTACAAATAAGATTAAATAAAAAGTCAGTACTCCAGGCTGTATATTGTAAGGATTTAGCATAACCCATCTCAGCTTTTTTTGGATCTACATATGTACATTATATTATATTGATTATGTCCCCCTCTTACTCAAGGGTCCCAGTCCCAGATCCAGTTCCAATGGTGAAAATGTTTAATAGCGTCCCCAGAATCGTGGTACATAGATCGGCCTGTTCCTTTAATCATCACATACCATTTGTTTGAGCACGGTGTCGGGCCAGCGCACTGCCTTTTAAAGTAATGCTGTTATAATTCATTGTATCTTTATCTAGTAATCAGAATTCACACCTAGTCTCGAAAAAGTATTTTTAAACTAAGTACTAATTAACTGTAGTGTAAATTTAGCTATCTGTCAGATCAGAAACGTCCTACTAAAAAAGCGAGAGCGCTACTTGCTTAAAGATTAAAGTACAATTTTTTTTACTTTGAATGGTGTACGAAGTAAATTATATGTCTAGATAATGGTTGAATTAGACTCCTAATCTGTTTAGAAGTAACCGTCTATGCCAGTAGCCGGTAATGACGTACTGTACATTTAGAATTTAATCATCAGAGGTACACAGGGCATGATGCATTAAAGGTTGTATACTTAAGGTCTGGTGGTTTGTTTATCAGAAGTTCAAAAGTGTATAAGAACTCAAGAGTAAAAAATATGAATGAAATGTCTAGAAGTCAATCTGTATACATTAAACAGGGAAAGAAGCGAAGTGATAACTTATTTGTAGAACATTCTTTTGATTTTTTTATTATTCGAGTCTGACAGGACTTATAAAAAAATCCAAAGATCGGTTAAATAAAATGTCTCGATGCAAGTCTTTTAAGTTTTTAGATCTGGACAATTACATTATAGTAGTAATAATAATAATATTCAGTGCATCAAATACATATATTTTTTGATTTTTGTATAAACATATTACTTACTCATCCACAGCCATAGTTTATATAATAGATAAATTGATATACATTCATGTTTATTTTCATATTGTTTTAAGTTAACCATAAAGGTAAAAATCCATGTATTGATATTTTTTTTAGATGGGTAACCAAAATTGCATTCTGCTAAATGAAAATAATTTTAAAATGTAAATAATTCCAAGTTTGAAAAAAGTAAAATAATGTATAAATTAAAATTTTTTTTTAAAAAACTATAGTTGTAACTTTTACACTACGTATAGTGATAATAATTGTAGACAGCTGACGAAAAAAATCATATAGTAGACACAAGTATTAAAATAAATGAAAAATCAAAATAGTAGATCTTAATAACTGTCGAATTTTATTTAACCCTATCAAAAATAGCTTAAGCAAAAAAAGGTGAAATGTTTTAATTGTGTGTACAACATTTCATAAAGATAATGCAATAAAATGTATAATATATATTTATTTATAATATGTTAATTATTAATATTTAAATTAGTGTTTATTTTTTTTAATTCAATTTAATTTCTCACAACCACAACTGACTAAAATTAAGACACACCCATAGTGAGTGTATTATTTTATTTTCCAAGTTCAACATAGCGTACTAAAGATGGCCGCTTAGTATTTTATATTATAGGATATATATATTTTAGGATTTTGCATTATGAACTCAGTTATCTTATTTAATCTAGATTACAAATCGATCAGAAGACAATACATCAAATGACTTGTCTATTGTACTTCGATACCATTAGTCTACGCCGTGCTCGTGACTGAGCTAATGTTTTTAGCAGTTTATTATCCACCCGCTTTTTTATGTAATAACAGCTGTTCAATGGCACTAGTTATAGCATGTTATTAGTAACAGTCACTTTGTTGTTATCTCAAGAGTCATTTCCTGAAGTTGGTCATCATAAAAACGTAATATCCGCATAATAAAAAAGCCTATTATAAAACAACTGTCCTTTACACAAAACTAAACTAAAAAATCAAAAATGGTTTTATATTTGTAGATGAGATAACTTAATGATGCCAAACAAGTATGTAACTTTATATTTTAATAAATAATTTGCAATTGAACCTACAAAAATAAATTAAACCACTAAGAAAAAAAATGGTGCGTCATACTAAAAATTACATATACAAATACATTTTTTTTTTAGTCTTACATTTTAGAGCAAAAAGAAAACCGTATTAAAAAAAGAAATTATATTAAGTGTTAGACATGGACTAATAAAGAGATGGAGACAAAATATTAACTAAAATAAGAATATCGAGATGATAGTGCATAGGCGGAGTCGGGAGAGCTTACTAATCCCTCCAAATAATTTATTTGAGCTCAGTTTTGAAAAGTAGGCGTAAAAATTCATGGAATATTAAAAAAAAAATTGTAATTATAAGTTAAATTTCAATTATAGCTATTTATAGCCTATAATCAAACCACGACTTAAAAATTTACAAAGTTATTTGTAATTAAAAAAACATAATAGATCTTGTGTTTATTTAAATGGAAATAAATAATACATTCGCGACTAGCCAAAATAAAATTGGAAAATATTTTTTTTTCACTAAATATGTTTTATCACCGAGATGTACCCTTTCTTCGTTTTGGAAGTGAAAAAAAATGTAATTAATTTATAAATTAGTCTAGACTCTAGAACACATGACTCAAAGCATTCGAAATACCTATGTTAGTACAAAAGAACACAAAACTATAATTATGATGAAGATTTTGATGGATATAATGGATACACTATGTTGGAACATAAATATAATGGAAAAATATATTTCGCTGTTATCATGATTTTAACATAAAATAATTTGGTATAAACTAATATCAAAAATACGAAAAATCTAATTTTATAATTACCCATTTTTATTTTAATTAGAAATAAAAATTAAGTTATAATATTATTGCTAACTTATAATATTTAATAAACTAGCAAATAACTTTTAGCTAGGTCTTGGCATTTGTCTAAGACTTTAACATAAATTACCATAAAATGCATATAAATGCAATAAAATACATTGAAATCCCGAGAGAAAAATCCCAGTTAGAAATAAAAATTAAAGGTGATTTTGCAAAAGTGTTTTGTCCCGATTAAGAACTATGGTTAGAATGACTCATTTTTATTTAAAATTAAAAAATGATAAAAAATTGTTTAATGTTTTTATAAAGATAATATAAATATTATTATATACTTTTGGGATTTTAAAATCTTTTTAAATTTTTTTAAAAATCATGATATCAGTGAAATAATTGTTTAATATTTTATTTAAATTTCAATAAAGTGATATTCAAAAAATGTTGATTCAAATTACTGTTTTTAATCTTTTTGTTCTGTGGCGCACCATCACATGTATTATGAATGCTTTAAGGTATGCGTTTTTTGTCGTTTAATTCAGTTGAAATTAAAGTTTTTAAAGTTTTAATAGACAAATTGAGGGGGTCTTGTGTATAAAATATAAAAATATAGACCACCCTAATATATATTAATTAGGTTCTTATGTTATTATATACTCGTAGTTATAATGAATAGGCCAGAGAAACTTTTATACGGGAATAAACATATTGCGAGAATAAAAAGGGCGCACTCAGGGGGAAAGAAGTACAGATACATGATTGGTAAATAATAGTCATTCTGTTTTCTTTAAAAAATCATTCCGTAATGACGTCCGTTACACCGTCTTGATATAGGAGTAGCCTATCCATGTACACTCGCCCAATTAAATATACATACTATCTCTACATTATGTAGAATAGATTCTATGCTTAATACTACAATCAAATTTTAAAGCATCCGAATGTGTCAGTTAATCCACGTAAGTATTCTATATGATTATTCGGTTTATACTTTGTGCAACAAATCGACTTATGACAAAAATACAATAAATATTATGTACGCCATGCTCTTGCTCTTTTAGCGTGTACACGGTTATTTTTTGTGTGATAAACGGTGACTGATTTCGAGGCGTGTATAGCGTATATATATATATTTTTTTTTTGATCTTGGGTCGGTCAGCTGATCGTTTAGAGGTTTTAAATCGAGCCTATAAACCACAACGTATTTAGTTTACGATGAGATTTCTGACCAAAGCTGGTATGGAAATCGCGTTAGATGTAATACAAATATACTTGTTAAACATATATATATATATATTATCTATGGATATATATATATGTATAAACTGATGGTAATTTATATGCGTTCAAGACGGTTTAAGGTAAACCAAATAACACGAGCAGACGTGCTCGGCCCGCGGGTACGATTTGTGTGCGTCCCCTCCTCCCAGCTCGTGAAGATTTTGCCCGGTCGAGTTGAAGGTCGCCCGCAAACGGCCTTCAGATTTCTGATGCACACAAAAAGACATTGTCACTACTATCTTCTTCTGTAGGTAATGTTGTTTTTTCCCATCATTTTTCCTGACCATACGCGCGGCGACCACCGAGCGAGTGCGATGAAAGAAAACCAAAAATAAACCTCAATTCGTCGCTTTTTTTTTTATTATATTTATGTAAAAATCAAATATAATATAATATTATAATTACTATTTAACGTGTTGATTTGTAATTGTTTTTTTTTTTGTGATCGTAGATAGCGCGCGGTGATATCGAATCCGCCAAGATGATTGCATTAGTGAGCACAGCCGCTATCTCGGTAAGTACTATATTTTTGTTATTATAAACTAAAAAACATTTATATTCAAATACCCATAACACACCACATGGAAGTATGGAACACTTGCTTACAACTCTCAATGATCGAGCTAATGCGCCTTATTTAGTAATATTATGATCAATAAATACCCACTGTTTTTCTCTTAAAGTCGCTAAACATGGTAGCATATTCCTGGGTCGTAATCACTCACTCCCACATCAATTAACAATTAAAAAAACCCAAAAGCCCGGTTTAAAAAATAAAAAAGCACCTGCAAGTATTATTAAAAAGCTGTTATTTGTATAAAATACAATAGTTAGCACATAGGGGCTATGGGTACTGTGGCCTATGTACTTAAATTGTATACATTAAAAGTGTATTTTTATGTTAATTTTTTTTATAATATAATAGATTATGTTTATAAAATATGTATATTTTTTCTAATGATTTTTAATCGACAAAGGATAACCTCGGCAACTGATAGAATAAATAATGTCGTACCATAACATTAAAATATCTTTATAAACCCGGTTCGCGGTTAGAATTTTACATAGTTATTACTTATTAAAATAATATTTACATGTTATAGTGTTATACTGAAAGATCCAAATGTTTGATGGTCACCGTAAACGTAAACATATTATACATTATGATATTATGTATTCTAACACGCGTCATATGTAACGTGATATTAAAGCATTTGTTATGAAACCTGGTCCTTGCCGAATAAATGAACAGCAAATAATTCTACTTTTTTTAAGCCCACATCTTTGTCAGTTAACAATTGGTTAACTTTGGCAAACGATAACAAAACAAATAATTAATTTAATAATACTCTATCTCCATAAATATTCACTACGATTACATGCGAAGTTAAGATTGATTTATTGTAATCCGAATTAGCTAACTTCCGGAGTTAAGAGAATGTAAACATCCGGATTAGTAAAAACCGGGTTAGCTTAAACCAAATTAGTAACTCTGCAATTGAAAATCGGCCTAAGAATAACTCCTAGAGTTAAAAATGCATTATTATGCACGAAAAGTCGTGTCCGTGCATTTCAAATAATTCCACGCATGCTCTACACATCCTCTCTACAATCAATTAAAACTAAACATTTCAACTTATATCTAACACATGCCAAAGGGGGTGGGGTCCAATAACAATATGTAGATTGGACCACAATCGACTTATATACTAATACCTAGAATATACCTTGTATAACTTAACCTAAACACAAATTATCCAACTTTCATTTACCATCATTCATCAACAATCATTAAGTTTATTTATTATTAAGTTTGCATTACAATACAAGGGTTTTTGAGTATTTATAAATAAGTTATTTCCATACCAGTCGTTTATTAAATACGTTTCAGAGTATTTTTATGGAGTTTTAGTTCCTAATATACTCGTATTGTTCTATTCATTATTTATATCACATTACACACTACCTACGATTTTTGTATGTAGGTAAATACTTATGATTTGTCCTTAGAGTTTAGACAATATGAAGTCGATAAATCAGATCTATTTTTTTAAGGCTGTTGACTTACCTATTGTTAAACGAGTCATTGACATTATCTAATAATAAAAAAATGTATTAAATTATACATCAAATAAAATAGTTGTAATCTAATTGATTCGTTCAATTGTTACAGTGTTCTTATTAACAAAAAATAATACTATATAAACAATGTAAAACAAACAGGATCCGATAAAAGTAACGGCGTTAAATTAAAAATAACACTCATTATTAACGGTACACCTTCATTATTAAAGTTAAATCGTTCTCAAAGATTGTTAAATTTATAAAAAGGTGTAGTTGAAGTTAACTTAAACTTTATAAAAATAAAACGAAACAAACGAGAGCAACCCGTAAGTGTAACTCGCTTAGGAAAACAATAAATTGTTTTTCATCAAACGAGATTTATAACGTCATTGTTGTTTGTACAAACTCACCTAAGCGCAGCTTTTAAATACTTTCTGACAGGGAATGTAAAAAATAAAACACAATGACTATAATAAAAATGGATTTTATTTTTTATTTTTTTTATGGCTGTTTTGTGTAGTTCATCATCTTGTAGATTGACGGACCTTGAAGGTCCAACGCTACCATCACAGCTTATTGTTGGACAAAATCAAATAGTGCACTTCCTATTAAAGCAAAATAATTCCTTACGATGTAAACAAACCAAATTCCTTAAACACAATAATCTGATGTTTGAACAGAAAAAACTCTTAAGCTATAATAATCCATCTATATTACGTTAACATTCTAGCCCAACAAATTAGATAAATCGAGTACAGAGAAAACTGAAGCTATTCTTTTATTATATTATTAAAATTCACGGTAGCTATCACTATTAGATGCCAAAATAAGTTTTTACATCATATAAACAGTTATTTATTTTTTGCAATGAATTAAATAATTTTATTATTATTATCGACGATGAGGTGATAAGAAGGTATTGATTTTGCAATAAATAATAATTTTTTATCTTATTTTATCCTAATTCCTAAATAGTTTAAAAGTACAATTCTGCTTAAACAGTGCATAACAATTGTTTATTTTTTTTTAATTCAAAATACCGCATAAAATTATTTAGGCATAGTTTACCGACCACCACACACGAACCTTTTATCGATAAAAGTGTTAAGTAATAATTAACGACGCCTAGAACAATCGTGCATATCTACTATCATCGTGTCGACAAAAGCCTTCAAAATATCACAATAATCGTGCGCACAATATACTGAAGTATGGATGAGAGGAAACGTTTTAATTACAGCAAGGTCGACAGGCCAAAACATATATTATTACCAGATCCGGCTTAAGAGCTTTAGGTGCTTGTAGGTTTTAAATTTTGGTGCTTCTCCATTCCATAACTCATGATTTTTGATATTCGCAAATATGGCATTTCCGAATGACATCTCACACTTAATAAAACGACAGTTATATATTCAATCCATATTATTTTATACTAATTATACGGATTACACGACGATAGCAAGGCAAATACTGAACTACTTTAACCTGCTCTATCGTTTCTGAGCGGTACCGACGATAGGTTTGTTGTTAACCGTATGAGCTTTTCTATTAACCTTTTATTATGTATGTCATAAAAATCTACATCACTACATAACTGGGGTGTTTTCTTAATCCTATACTCTTTTAGTAATTTTAGTTATATAATACTGATAGCCAGTAAATAATCTACGTATTAGCCTTGGACTGTCGTCGTTAAGTACAACGCAATCGCCCGCGCCCGTTTTTGACCGAAGACAATATTTTGTTCAATTTTTTATCGCGTTTCCTCAGCTCACCTAAATAGTACTTATTTACTTGTCTTAAGTGCCTAGATACTGTATATAGATATCATTACCGATAATGTGACGTTCGGTCATTTGCGTTAATGGCAGGCTCGTTAAAACCTCCTGTCTGATCTTCTCCTCGCCGACGGCGATGACGGAATTTTAACTACAACGCTCTATTCGACTAAATTCTAGAAGAATTTAATTGAATAGCACAGTAAATAATATAGTCCATATCTACTACGTAGTAGCCTACATAATTTTTGTACGTAATTTGTAAGCAAACGGGCGTATAAGTGCGGAAGTTCGAACTGGATGAGTCGGTCGGGCAAGGCGTTCCGGTGTATAAGACGTTTTAGTACGGTGTACGACCTCGAGGACGTCCTCTGGTACGGGATAGTGCGAACACGGTGTTGCGGTGTCGATATAGCTATAGAATAATAATAATATAATAAGCATAAATATATATATATATGCGCAATTTATTATAGAACCGTGCGAATCGCGTTGATATTATAGCCTTGCTGCAGTCTCACACATTTTTTACTATCGCATTAATATTTTGTTACTATTATATGCCTCTTTTCTTTCTCCCAACACCTACGAGATTATCATATTGCCAATAAATAAGGATACAAATGTTTAATAACTATTGGACCTACTTGCGACAGTTGACATTTGGCATTCATAGAAGAGCACATTTGTTAATTTAAAATTATACTTTTTCACACAATTTAATAAAGAGTAATCTTCAAGTTTAAATTACTCTTACAACGACAATATGTATGAATAATTAATTATATAGTATTATGATAGAATAATAGTTTCATTCTTTGTTTTGCTTCTTCTCATAAGTTTTTTTTTTTAAGTATTAATAACATATAAAATTTGTATAATACGCTAAAACCACTAGACTCAAAACTACAAAACGGGCGTAAGGTTAGATTAAATACAATATCTCTATTTTAGGTGAAAAATTAAATATTTATAAATAATTACACGTTTGACGTTATCATCTAAAACCAGAGGCGTATTCAAAAAACATAATATTTTTTATTAGTTAATATCAGTTTATTAATAATGTAAGTTGTGTGTATAAGTTTCTTTGTAATATTAAAATTTATAGCAAAAACCCTTTTTTAATTGAATATTTACAAGGGTTACAGTTACACCCATATTGATAAATTAGCTTTGCCAAAATTTCGGAAGCCCATCTTTTTCTATTATCAGGGCTGTTTTGTGCTGGTTACGTGTCGTTTGCTCCGCGGCCGAAGTTTATGTAAGCTGATTTTTGTTCTACCCCCACTATTCATTTCTTGCTTGTTCTACTAATTTAATACTAATATGTATGTAGTACTTAAAACTTGTACACAGCTGATCGCAAAAAGTGTCAAAAATATGCTGTAGTTTTAAAACTAAATTCGTAAATTCGTAAACAAATTTTAAGGGGAAAAATATAATTTGTTTATACAATTGTAATATAGGTTTAATTAAAATCTTCGTAAATTAATTTAAACGTTCTTAACATACAATATTACGTTTATCACTTCAGCTCAAGCCTCAAATTGCAAAATTTTAAAAATAAAGTGACTAAAGCACGTCAACTCTGAATATTCTACACTAAGATGTGATTTTTCATAACCAGTATTAAATAATAACACGGACGTACTACTGTGATGATTTTTTA